GTTCGAGACGTTTAACCGGCCGGCGACTTCGCGTCCTGCGCGTAAGCTTCCTTTCTGTTGTAACGTAGTTTCGCTCTTTTTCTTTTTATGTGCATTTTAGCACTGTACATGTGTTGTGCTAATTTTGCAGCACGAGCATCTCGCGCTCGCGCCCGATGTGTTTCTGTTAAGTAGCAGTTAAATCCGTCTCCATCACCCGAACGTCTGAGATGTGTTTTTTCTTCACCAGGGCGGTAAGGTGGGAGGTGTTCCGAAATAGAAGAATCCAACGTACGAACTGTCACTGAATGACCCCGGCTCTACACTTCCTTCGACACGCTCTTGTTCTCTGCTTTGAAGCGCGCAGAGTCAGAAAGTCAGCACACTCGGATCCCTTTCGGGGGGGGGGGGGGGGGGGGTCCTTGTCGCGACAGTGCTCGACCGAGGAACGAAACCCGTCGCTTTCTCAGTGCGACGAGCGTCGGAAGATTACTAATTATTTTACGTTTCTCCAAAATTCGGAATATAGTGTCCGAGGGCCTTACCGGTGAAACGAAATCCCGCGAAAGAACAACCAGTGCGATTTTTGCAGCGGCTGATACAGCAAAGCCCCATCGCGGCAACGCGCTACGCCACACACTTTCGTTTCGCCGCCCAGGCGCGTTGAGATGCGTCTGACCGTAAACGCAACTAAACGCAAAAAAAAAAAAAAATTATTTGATTTGGTTCCTACCTAATTCTCGCTAGGTCTCTCCGTGTTTTCCAAATACTGTTGATGTTTACATTCTCCTTGTTTACGTTTTTCTTGTTTTTTTGTGTTTGAATAGTTTTTTTTTTAAGAATGACATCACGTCCTATGCATGCCTTTTAACCTTCTCGGGTGTAGCAGATTGCCAAACGTAGCTGACGGCACTTTCGCCAGTACGCCGAGCTGCGCCCGGCTGAAACGGCTGCCTGAGACTTGACGTCGCAATTTGTACCACGCATGCTTGTATATAACGTTGCTAGATTAACTCAGAGGAGCGGAGCTAATCTAGTAACTCGAGGTGGGGCGACAGAGCGCCTGTGTAGCTTGCAGCTGTCCCCGACTAATCCTTATGGCGCCATTGCCGGTGATACTCCATGCTTCTTCCCCGATGTGGCGACAGTGTGGCGGCCTGCAGACCCTACCGGCACCACAGGCTCAATCAATCACTCAATTGGCTAAAACCTTTTTTGCCATATTAGATACTGTTACGAAAACGCTCGTTTTGTACTTGAAGTTTTTATCTTTCCTCTTTTTTTGTAGAAATCGCAGTATTTATAATGTTTTGTTCAAAATCTACAGTACCCAGATGGCGCCACTCATCATCGCTTTCAATCTCTCCCCAAGGTGCGCAGCCTGATGCTTGCGAACCGTTGAATAAATGAATGCGGCGGGAACCTCCAACGGCGTCGGACGTTTCATTCTTGCGGCGTTGTCGCGCAGGCCCCGGCCCTCGTGGCTACCTCCGTCTGTGTCATGCGAGAACCTCTTTATTTCCACAAGCCCGCGTGGGCTCTGCGCATCTTTCATTTTTACGGGTTTCTCTGTTGTTTTTTAATTACTTCAGCAATCAGGCGAGTAAATGACAAAAACGTGAATACAAATATTGATACAATTGAATTTTAGGTTTTCTTGGCTCGTCGGCATCGAAGATCATAGTGCTTCGAAAACAAAAGAGAACCAAGTATCACATGAAAACTCTACCAAAATAACATAGCTTGTTTTTGTCATGTTCAATTCACTTAAAACTGATTTCAAATTTTTTAAAGAAGCTTTATTCTTCAAAAATAAAGTAACATAGCTCGCATATAAAGGACACAATGTTTACAGCAAACGAGGTTCATATGGGGTGGTACATGCTCATGAATTCAATGAAGAAAATGGGTGCGCCGTTTCTGATGAAAGTTGGTGGAAGCCACGATTGTGAGGCAATGTTCGAGTTTCCACGCCTTGTTTGCACGTACGTAGCTCTCTTCTTAAAAAAAGGTAGCTGTTTCAACTTTGTGTGGTCAATCCCCATACGTCCTAAAGTAACTTCCCGCAAGGCTATTTGATGTTCGGTGCTGAGTTATTTGCTTAATAGAGGTTCTACAGAACGGAGCTTATAGCAGGGATCAAAGTCCGATTTACAAGAGTGTTTTATTTGTGTTTATAAAAATGCTCTTCAGTTTGTGTCTCGTATCATATTGGTGTCTTTTATCCTATCCACGAAAGTACTTGCAGCTCGGTCGGCTTCCCCGTTACCATCCACGCATGCGCAGCTGGGAACACAGTAGTAATAAAAACTTACTTTGCTATTTAAAGCGCATCTTTTGACGTAGTTGAGTAACAAGGAATTGGTTCTGCAAGGTAGAAAAGTTAAACGCAAGAAGTGAACTTAGTAAAGCGAACAAATAATAAAATTTAAGTAGTTACGTTTGATTATGTGGTTTACAGTTGGTACAAACCCGAGAAGGTTCAATTGTAAAAAAAAAAGGATCCGTTCGGATTTTTCATCTCGCCGATCTTTGAACCGTTTTATATAGAAACAATTGTTGACATGTTCCGCGTCCTTTTGATTTGTATATCCTTGTTATTCACTGTTTTGTAGTGTGCTTATGCGGCTTCTCTCTTATTTAGATATTTAAATTACAATGAATATCACAAGTTCGCCTACTTTACCTCGCTTTTTAAAAACGTAAACAAAAATAAAAACATATTTTTGAAATCGTAGAGCCGCACAATGCCGGTAACGTTCTGTATCTTAGTCAAATAAGCACATATTTCACATGAATGCGGCTGAAATAGAGGACTTACAACCAAAATATTACATTTCTACATTGTTTCTCTCCTGTAGTCGACTATAATATCCAAGGGAATTTAAAAATAAAATTTTACAACAGTGTTTTTTTTTAGAAAATATACTTCAAACTTTTCATACGGGTTATTTCCCACAACGTTTACGTGAAAGCCGTGGAGTGGCTAGTCAACAAATAATAATGGCATTAATATATATATATATATATATAATGGCCTTGCTTTGAGCTTTCTGTACAGCTGAAGAGAAGCAATTTGTCTTAAGTACACACGAAGTAAGGACCTGTCAAAGTTGACCAAAAATCAACCTGAACGACGAGTTTGACCATTTGTTTAGAAAAAAGTGAAATTCCTATATCGATTCTAATATATCAAGGCGTGTTTATGGCACCCATTAAATGAGGAGAAAAGCTAAGATAATGTAGAAGAAATAGTAGTGGCAGCAGAGGGTGTCGAACACGCGACCTGCGACGGCAGGCCAAAACACTAGTTTCTGCCACTGCGGCTTCCACGCTTCAAAACTCAAGATAAAAAAATCTGGGCAGCATGCGGTTTGCGCCCTTCTTCATTTCAGAAATTCTCCCAAAACTTATATTTTTTCCTCAAAAATAAAAATTAGGCCCCTTTAGCCTGCCCGATTTCAGATGAAACCACCCTATTATATATATATATATATATATATATATATATATATATATATATATATACCTCAAAAACCAGTTTTTTATTTACTGAAAACATTATATTTCTTCAAAAAATTATTTAAGCATAGCAAAGTGAAATCGTACACTCCTGATGCTAGATTTTTGTACCCAGTTCTGTTGGTTATTATAAATAGGTAAAAAGCTAAAGTTAAGTTTAAACTTAACTGCAATGGCAGATTTTCTACCACAAATAAAAAATTCCAGACATCGTATCTTTGATCTTTTCATGACATATTTGGAGCGTTGTATCCCATGATTCCTCCTACATAGTGCTGGAAGAACTGAATGTATAGAATATGCCTGTAGGCCTATATGCTATCAATTGGTACCACTTCCGTTAAATTTATGTTGGCGTAATAATTATGATAAATTTTAAAATAAAGAAAGTATTTAACCATAATTTGAACGCGCTTTAATCACAAAAATGTGTTTTCTTTTTTCTTTTTTATGATGTTTACTTTTTGTTGTCAAAATCAACGTTCCCCTTTTGGGTGTATTTTTCGTAGAAATGCTCAAACTCACATGCATGCGCCACAATCGGCAAAAGTGTGGTTTCGCAAGTTCGCTTTACAGTAAGGTTTTTTTTTATATTTTTAGTTTAAAATGCTAACGGCAAAGTGGGGGGAGGAAGAGGGGGTTTGGAGTGTTTAAGAGGAGAAGGCATGAAGGAGTGAGTGAGTTAAATCATGTATCTATTCGTATCCAAGAATCGCCTGTCTTTGCCGAGTTATCCTGATGCAAGAGAAGTGATTATGTCACGACTACATGAAATGATGGTCCTAGGTCCTATGTAATCCACCAGCGAATCACGATGACTTTCCTCTGTTCTGGTGAGACCTTGAGCAGGGCCCGCTCGTGTGTACTCGGCCTGTCAACTTTTTTTTTTCTTTTAAGTGGAAGTGGGAGCGGGGAGGGAGACAGGGTTATTTGGACGTGTCCCAATGAGGAAAAAAAATGTCTACCCCTACCCCTTCGCTGTTTTTACGCTACTGGCGAAGCATGCTTTTTATATTATCGTTATTTGAGTTCGAACTCTTCAGTCGGTGTGCCCATGTTGTTTACCTCAGTTTAGTACATATAATATATTTTCTTTCTTGTCTTGATTCTTCGCGTTGTCATGCTTTTTTCCTGATATCTGATATCTGATATAGATAATATCTGTAACCGGTAAACCTGGTATAGTCACCAGGATTGCAGTTCGGTAGCAGCCAGACACGTCAACACTATGAGGCGCGCCTTGGGTTTTTTAAACTGTTAGCGATTGTAGTTTATTAACAAATTAATTTAGATGTTTGTCGTTCCTAAAAAGAAGCACACCGAGACGGACACGGACCACTATAATTTACTGCATGTCTGACCTTATCGAAGTCTTGTAGCTTCTCCAAAGGTCAACACATGCGAATAAAGTTGTATCCAGAAACACGTAAGCAAGGGGTGAGGGTAAAATCAAAGGGCATGAAAACAAAACCGAATCTATAAAAAAATTAAAATTGCAGATGGAAGCAAGTGCATGAGTGGAGGCGGAAGCTGCTTTTAGTGGAATGTTTTGTGAAATATTTCTGCCGCAGCGGAGCCACTCTTGCAAGACACGTGCAGTATAAGATCCCCCACGAACACAACTTGCACGCTCCGGCTTCACTGGCCAACGGTGGAACTATTTTGGAGACCTCACAGGCAAGAAACTATAGCAGGAAAGGAAATAACGGTTGAGGGTGAGCCTTCCCGACGGCAATTCTATTTCTAAATACATATTTGGAAGAATTATATAAACTTCGATGAAAGGGAGTCCGAACTGAATAGAGGTTTTACAGGACAAAAAGATACGCGTGAAAGTAATAAGTCTGGGTGCACAAGTTCAAAAGTGACCGCCTACAGAGAATGCATCGTATATATACTGTCTCTTTATATTGTACATTTATGTGACATAACTTTATTTTATTGCCTTTATAGTCGTCCTGTTCCCGGTCTGTCTAACGTGCCGTGAAGTAAGAATTAGTTTTTTTGAGGATGAATAATTTATAATGTTATAGCTGAGATTAATATAAGACGGGTTGTACCAGACGGCATAGAAATGCCAAAATGTATAAATGTGTTAAAGGGACCATGAAGTGAATTTTCGCCTGAGATATATTGGGATTTTACTAATCGCATATCGTTTAGTGCGCAAAAATAAAACTAGCCTGCTTTTCGGTACGAAATTTTGAATATAAAACGGTCTACCTCGTACCACGTTTACTTGGAAAGTTCTCTGCCTTTTCACTGTGATGCATCCGCGAGACCCAAGCACGTCAGCCGAGCCCAGCTCACCCTATGCATGACAGAAGCACTGCGTAACTCGGATGTCTGCGCTCGTCAACAATCAATCCGTTGACGAACGTTTGAATTCGCGTTCGTTGCCAGTGAGCGTCGTGACGGCACTTATCATCGCTTAAGAATGACAAGTTTTGTGGTGCGCTTAAAAAGCACAGTGGAAGCTTGGAGTCATCGCCTCCAGTGCATGCAAAAGCAGGTCACGACCACGTAATTTCTCATTTTACTTTCGATTTGATGATTAAAGCTAAGGAGGGAGAAGTCGAAAAATTATTTGATGGTTTCTTTGAAGGAATACAGTCTCCCCATGTGCTTACATTTCTTTCCAAAGTCAGTTGTGCTAACATACGCATGCCTTTCAAGCAGACAAAGGCAAGGTTACATTTTTACGAGATATAACTTTTTAAGTATTGAAGATAACTTGAGTTCTAAACTTCCGATATTTTGCTCTCTTCCGTTTCTTTCAATTGTATTGCCTGTTCGCAAAGTTCGACAACAATCCTTTCAGTAGTAACCTTTAATGATCCATGTAGTCGCTTCCCAATAGGTTCGTCAATTCTGCACATCTCTTTTCTTTATGAATTTTACCCAGGCATATCATTACAGACATGGTTCCAGTGCTTGGATACAGCAGCGCAAGGGGCCTGGCCCAGAGCATTCGAAACCTATTGACCTACAAGGGTGTGGACTTTGAAGACAGGAGATACAAATACGGACCAGCTCCAAATTTCGAGAAGCCAGAATGGACCAAAGAGAAGGACTCACTGGGCTTGCAGTTTCCCAACCTTCCCTACCTCATCGACGACGACGTGAAGATCACTCAGTCGATCGCCATACTCCGCTACCTCGGCAAGAAGCACGATTTGGCTGCAAGGTAATTGCACTGGAGACGTGTTTCCGTTAATTTACCGATTTTTCGAACTATATTTTGTAGAACGCTAGAGAAAGCCTAACTTGGCGCAAGCTTGATAATTCTAGGGGTATAACTTGGACTTGATGCGTTTTTGCTGCAAGGCGCTAGTTAGCGCCAGATTACTTTTTTTTTTTTGGTCTATGGCATTTCTTCAGGCTCAATACATAATTGTCTACGTGCCAGACGTGAGTCAAAGATGCCACGTTTGAACTGAAGAACCAGGAGTGAGGTGTAATATGCTGGCACTCGTTTGGCTGTATAGGCCCAGGGTTGCCACAAAAAAAAAAACGAACAAACAGAAGTGAAGCCTAACTCCTGCACGTTGGCAATTTAGGCCCAAAGATGACAGATGACAGCCAAACTACCAGCTGTTAAACCTAAGTAGTGCGCTCGTTTTACCAAATTTGTCCAAAGAATGTCAACTTTGGCTCAACGTCGGCTTCTTCGGGCTTTCTAAGGCCTTAAATTCACACACAACAAACAAATTGTAGCCCAAAGAAATCCGCTGCCTGGGAATAGCACAGCTTACGGCCCCGACGAAGCAATATTTCACGCAGAAAGAAGACTGCCTGCGATTGGGGTTGCTTTTCGGCACAGCGGTCACTGCTATGAAAACGGTATATGTAGTTCGGATTTACATAAAAAGCAGAAACACACAAATAAAAAAAATCCAAACACGATGCTAATAAAAAGAAAAAGAAAAAATCTATGATAGAGCATGAAGATGAGCTTTTTGTTAGTTCAGGCAGTCAAGTGCCAATTTTTACGGATCATTCGGTAAAAAGAAAGTACCTGTGGCTAATGTTATTATCAGTGAAATGGTCGTTTAACAAATACATTCAAGTTCCTAATTATGGTCTAACTGTTCACCTCTTCTTCACTTCCTGGTATGTTGACCAGCATATAAGAGATCCTAAACACACATAACTTTGATTTAATAGAACTAACATTTTCGTCCCATGGACCCAAGCCGATAACATGGAAGAATGTCGCAGAACGTCTCCACTATCGTAGAAATAAATTTAGTTCCACTGATTTTGGCTGCAATCTTGTGGAAGTCTTCGGCTCGACCAGAAAACAAAACGATGAGATTTGTTGAAAGTTAAATAGCACCAGCCACATATAAAATTTCGCGTTAGCTATAGAAAAGCCAATACGAAACGCAGGGGGAATAATTTGACTCAGCACCCGACAAAGCAAGCGTAAAAAACGTCTCAAGAAGAAGCCGGTTCTAAACATCCGCTACAAATATTTCGTTAACTTTCAGTTTTCTGCCGTTCATTTCTCCGGGAGATTCCCGGACATGTTACTATCGCTCCGCAGTCAATAAGAATGCGGCATTAGCCTTTAAGAACACCGAATAGCCAATCACAAAGCAAGAGGTGTGCACATAATAGGCCTCCCCCTGTGTATTTTATATTGTCAGCGACTATAGTTAGAAAGAAAAAGGAGCACTAAGAGTATGACGCGTATCGGAGCTCTACTGACGACCCGGCATCTGATCGGTGATCGGCCGAACACGTAATGGGAATTCCTATCGAATAGTAATTTTGAAATTACTCCTTCATTTTTTTCGTTCGGAACTTCTGTCACAGTATTAAAAGTTAGCGAAAATTCTCACCAGGTCAAAACAGAGCCGTGTAGTTATCTTGGGGGGAGGGGGGGTACATCTCTAATTTAATCTTTTCTGCAATATGCAACTTCAGATCTCCTCAAGAAACGTTGAAGTTGGATTTTTTGGAGCAGCAGGCCAATGACCTCATGTGGGGCCTGATCATTGCGGCCATGAGTCCCAACTTCAACGAAGCTAAGAAGTTTCACGAGGCTAGCTTGGTCTCCTCCTTGAACGTCTGGTCGGAGCATCTGCGCTCGCACAAGTGGGCTCTTGGCGATCGCCTCACATACGTGGATTTTCTGCTCTACGAAGGCCTGGACTGGAACCGTCAATTCAAGCCGGATGCCTTCCTGGTTCATCCCCCGATTCTCGATTACTTGAAGCGGTTCGAGGAATTGCCCAACATCAAGGAGTACTTCGCATCCAGCAAATTCTCCAAGTGGCCCATCCTAGCCCCCAACTTCAACTGGGGATTCAAGAAAGAATAAAGTTCCGCGCGTTCTCGGTCAAACAAAGATGTTAATTTTTGCGTGACGACTGAAATATTACTCCGGTTTGTCTATGATTTAGTTTGTTATCCGAACTTGCCATAAACCTGCAGATTTACTCAATTCTTCTAGAAAGTTGTCAGTTGGCCATATAAAGAAGAGGCCAACTGACAACATATTAATAAAGCTTTCCCAGGATCTTTGCCCCAGCGCACCAGTTGCGAAATGGTCGCTCAGGACAGCAAATTATTTCGGGTAGTGTAAAACATACCACTCACATCAGTGGAAAGAATTCAATTCTAGACTAGGTTATAGTTCCCTGCAGTCCTTTGCGCTTCCCCAAAATGCGCGAGGTGTGATGAGCAGCGTTAAGGATTTTTTGTGCATCGACTAAAGATTGCATGCTACCATGAATTTAAAAAAAAAAGTCGTATGTCTGTGTAAATAAATAAAAGCTACCGGCTTGTAGCCAGGTCAGTTCTACATTTTATGCTACACTTTATGTGGCGTTAATTTCGAGCCTAACAGAGAAGCAAATGCCCTTCGTTTCAAGTAAACCTGCAAACGTTGGCCGGTACGCACCAGACATTTATGTGTGCCTTCTTGAAGCCGACTGAGGTGATGCATGTATTCCCAAATTGTTTTGAGTGCAAGTTTTGACCCGAGAAGTCATTAGAGCAATAGCATAATTACAACTGCACCCTTACGTAAACCTCTCTTTGTTTCAAACCGTGCTGTACTACGGTGTGTTTCCTGTAACAATAAAGAGGGGCTTCATTTTCTAGCTCTTAATCTAACTGTTGATGATAACTTCGTAAAAATATCACCAAATAATTTTATTTATACAGTTGTTAATAAATTAGCTATTTGATTCACAGAAACGGGTAACTGACTGGCAGAGGATGTCCGACAGCACAGCGCATATACAACTGAAGCGCAACAGGTTGTGCAGAGTGCTTAGAAAAGTAATTTTCTTCAAAGTATCTTTAAAAAAAAATGAGCGCAAAGGAATTTCCATGGTGCACATTAGGGAGGATCGGAAAAAAGATCACAAGTATTATCTGACCAGTAAAAAACGTAAGACGCTTACAAATCCCTGTAATGCGAAATTAGAATGCAGCTCTTGAGGTACTTCGATTTTGCGATATGCCGTGGTTTCTGCAAATCCTCCTCCTCCGTGTCCTCCTCCTCTTCGTATCCTCTTCCTCCGTATCATCCGCTCCTCCTCCTCCTGCGTAGCCTCTTCTTTTCTTCAAAGTGTCATCAAAATAATTGAGCTCAAACTAATTGCCATGGTGTTCATTAGAAGGGATCGGAAAAAGATCAGAAATATTATTCGAGCATTAAAAAACTGAAATCGGGAAAGTCAGATAACCAATTCAGAAAATGATAACAGTCGATAAGTTTATACAAATGCCATATTTGAAAACATCCATAACAAGCCTACAAAAGGAAAAAAAAAACAAGCGTAAAACGCAATAAAAGTGCGTGGAACTACGTTCACAATCAAGCAGGGTTATACTTGCAATGGAGAGCGTGATGGTAAGGGTAAAATATATATACGGGAAGAACATAAAAGACGACCTCATAACAATAAAGTTTGCAGATGACTATGTTGAGCTGTATAGAGAGTAGCACAAAACACCAGGAACCTTTTATCTCCATGCAATAAGAAGAAATAAAAACAATGCAATATCCGCGACACCTGAGATATAATAAAGTGCTGGTTTATACAAGAAAGAGTGGTAAAAGTGCTATATAACTGTCGAAAGATTGCTTCCTGCTTGTCCAGTATCCCGCGATTAGCAGACTCAAAGAGATAGGTGGGTCATTCGCTTAAACCTCATGCTTGTTTATTTCTAAGGACCGACATCGTTCAGATGAAAATAGACGAGTTTCGCCGGGATAAGCTATCGCTCAAGTGAACCGTGCTCTGACCTGAGCAAATATCTTGGAAAAGTACGCCGGACAATGGCAGCTATCTGATAGCGGTCAATTGTCTAAATGCGTGAAGAGATAACTGCTTTGTCTCGCTCCAGCGTTTGATCCTGCTGTTTCGTCACCATCGACGCTTGCTACGCTAGCCTTCTTCTGTTTAGTACGGGCACAAGTTCACCATATTATACGTTTAGTTTGCTTCAGTCTTCGTCACCTCGTCAATTGTGCACTATGGTATTATCCTATACGTTCATTGGCCAGGTTGTTCTACACTGCTATCAGTTACCGTCTTTACTGATGCCAACAAGCTAACAACGTCGGAAGCAAATGTCTCCCTAACGGCTGAGTGTATTTTATTGCACTGTATATGACCATTATAAGAAGGAACAGCGAAAATAAATCACAACAAGAAAATGTAAACGTAAAATACAAACAGGGGCGCTGCCTTACTACTCGTATATGTTCTTCTTCAGCTATTGTGCAAGACGCAGTGTCGTAATACCGAAACAGACCCACGAAAGCTTCGCATTCGTAGCTGCGACCCTCTCGATAATAAGACAAATTCCTTCTGGGATAACGAAAGGCTCAAAATAACGAATGTGAAGATTTTTCGGGTGATGCTTATATTTATGGTACTACCATTTGCGAACCAGTATATGGTAGATGTATTTAAGTTGCTAGTCGTCATTTTCTGTGTGTCTCTTCCTGTAGTCTCCTCGTCCTTTTGCGCTCTTGCTTTCAATAATGAAACCCTAACTCTCCCAAGCTTGTATCTTAATTAATACTCCATTCAATCGCTGACTTTTTGTTTGAGGAACCGTTATATTAAATCAATCTATAGCATGGCTTGTTTTGTGTACACTATTATGCCCTTCTACCTTGTTTTACAACAAAAATAACTTTCAAGTTATTAATTGTGAGTCCACTTGGCTTCAATACACACCCAGAGTCACGTTATTAGAACATATTGATCAGGGCGAACTTGGAAATTCTTAAAGCGTTTGACGATGAGGCACGCTTGGGGAGATAAAGACGTATGCCGAGTGCAAACATAGTATATTCCAACTGCGACCGTGATCACTCAAAGGGGCCCTTTAATGACATTTGAGCTTCTGACCTATTTAAGTTATTACTTCATGAGTGGTTAGGTTTACTTGGGGAATAGGTAGTATATAGCTATGAAATATTAGCGCATAATATTTTATTTCGATCGGGAAAAAACACTTCAACATATGGTGGCGACACGTTCTGTTGAGACGCGCGACCAGTAACATCGCCGGTAAGCATTTAGTGATACGCAGTAAGGCAAGAGCCGCTAGAATCTTTTTATGCAGTCTACATAACGCGTTTCCCTCCGTAAGCCATGGTTAGTCATTCGATAAAGTGGTTTAATGCGCTTTAGTTACTGCGAACTCGAGCGGCTATCACATTGAGCTTACTGAGCGCTGCCCATCGCGCGGGCGCCAATCGCCCCATCGGGAATCGTCGTCTGGGGCAACCAGGAGCGTGTGCGTGACGCTTACTTCTACGATTCGAATCTGCTGCATGCCGTGTGCTGTTCTCGTCGTTCAGTATGGTGCCTCCGTGTTTGTGTCTTGGTGTGCACAATGCCCATGCGCCCGATTGGTGAGTCTGTACGTGGACGGCTGTACGAGCTACACAATAAAAAAAAAAAGAAATTAACTGCCTTTTTTACAACTGGAAAGTGCTGTGAGAGGCGCGCGGGAAAAACGCCGTAGAGGCGACATGACTTTACGAGTCTGTAAATGTACGGCTTCACATACTTCTTAGTTCAGGTCTGCGTTCCCTCTTCTTTTGAGTAAAAACGCATATCACACGCCACGTTTGATCTAGGGATAGTTTTCATGTTGGCAGATGTCTTATATTTCGTGCCATTCATGCGAATGCGGAGAACTCTTTTATTGGGGAATTTTCGCCATCGGAGTGGCGGAGGCAGACCCGACCGAAAACCTGCGCACTCAGCTCGTTGACGAAGACGAGCGAAGAGGAGCGCCCCGTGCACCCGTCCGTCACGCGATGTTTACTTGCAAGGGTCCGCACGCTTGCTCGCGGGGGAACCACCTGAGGTGGTAAGGGCGGGAGCTCTGCCATCTTCGCTGTCGCCGCGATCACCTGTCCCCATTCAACCGCACTGAAAAGGTAAGCTAGTTTATTTTTGCATCCACCTTCCGAGATAATCCAAGTGCAGAAGGAATGAAAGACGTGTCACTTAACGCAATAGCACGCGTAGTGTCAGAAAACGCGCTAAACTTGTTGCTTCAGCTTTCCCCACTCAGTTGTACGAGAGAAACGTATCGTCGCATCAGACTCGACTCGATGGACGTGTGCAGGCACAGGGCTCATTGCCATGGGAGTTTGGTTTGCTCTGGGCTTCCCCAAACTCTTCCTATTCGTACCTTTTCGCTTTCGGGCGCCGTTAAGAAGAACAGGAAAAATCAACTTTGAACATAAAACACTGAACCGCGCTTGTTGAATAATTACAATAAGCACTCTTGCGTACTGAAATTTAAAAAAAAGCATGATTAAAAAAAGTTTTTCTCAATGGCAGTTTCTTCGTTTGTTTCGAGGTAGGCGTACTGGGCGAAACGACGGCCGTGCTTGCATAACGTACGCCGCGGAATGGCGGTACCGGCGTCATTAAATTCGGGCTGGAAGCAGACGACGACATGCTACCTGTTTTCGCCGTTATGATTTATTAAATACTCTAAGCAGGTATGATGTGTTTCCCGCTCGATAATAAATAAGAATGAAGTACACAAACCACTTCCGTCCCACGGTGAGCTTCCATAGACGAAAACAATTTTTTTCTTTCATGAAATTGAGAAACCGCGAGTTACTCGCTTATATTTCCCTACGTAAAAGCGACTATTAAAATATGTGCTCGACCGAGAAGTGGCCACTTTCCGAGAAGAGTGTCCGACCCTTATTGTCCCTTTATATTAGCTTCCGGTTGACTGGAACGATTATTGATGCCTTGCATGTTCCGGTGGCACCAATTCCTTCGGTGCTGTTCCGGTGGCACCGATTGTTCCAATGCCACCGAATGTTTCGGTGGCAACGATTGTTCC